TAGGGCAGGGATCCTCAAATCTGGCCCACGAGATCCACTTTCCTGCAGAGTTTAGCTCTAACCCTAATCAAACACACCTGAGCATGCTAATCAATGTCTTCAGGATCATTAGAAAATTAAAGGGAGGTGAGTTTGATCAGGGTTGGAGCTAAACTCTGCAGCGCATTGGCCCTCCAGGGCAAGATTTGAGGAACCCTGCCGTAGGCTATGCGTCGCTTTTTATTTATTCTTCTGCGTCGACGTGCAATTACACATGTAACCCACTAGTCTGCAGTGTCCACAGGCATGTTGCTGGTGTAGCCCGCAGTGTCAGGCAAAAGCCCAAGAAGAAGCAGCTTATCGGAGAAGCATCAGCCGTGACACGTAGGCATGTTTCCAAACCGCGGTATACCTTGAAACCGGTCATCGTCCCATGCCTACGTGACAGCGGCAAATAAATATTCAAGAAGAGATCATTTATTTAAAACTACAAAAAAGAGACCACAAGGGAACAGGAAAAGATGGCATTCTTTCAATCTCCACAAGGACTTGTACCATGGCAGAACAACATTGTTTGTCGCGGACAACTAAGTGATGTATATGCTATGTTGTATAATAAATAAGACACTTGTTCTTTGCTTTGTTTTATTTTAAATAAGGTATAACATTAAAATATATTTAAGTGGAAAAAAACACACAAAAATCGAATACATACGGAGGGAGGGGTTCTAGCAGACCAATCACAGTGCTTGCGGTCCGCGTAGAATTGACGTGCTGTGATGTTTTTGGAGAGGAGCACGTCAGGCTACAGCGTAGGTTTGACGCAGAAGTATAAATCAGCCTTAAGATATCAGCATCAGCCATCAAAACATCCATAATGGTTAAACACTATTATTAATGATTTGTTAAAATTATTATGCTACTGGCATAATATCACAACATGTGTTCTGTTGTTTTAAATTGACACCTGTCTAAAAATAATTCTTAGAAAAATATACGGTAATTCATTATAATTTGGCTCAAACTTTCTTGAAATTAAAGCTTGAATTTTAGAGACTCATTAAACATAATTTTATTTTTATTTTCAGATTTACTGTTCTACAGTGTGACACTCTTAATTAGTGTATTTTAAGAGATCACTCACCACATCTAAAAACATACGTATTCCATTTTATAAATCGTAATGTTTAATTTCTTAAATTTAATTTTATAACTCTTGATAAGTTCATGTCATTGTCTGTTTGTCAACCTGTTGTCATTTTTTTGTAAAGATAATAGCAGCTGATGATGCAGTTGATGTTGCTGTGCAGTGAAAACTAAGTGTAGCGCCCTGTGTAATCAACCATATCTCAGCTGGAGATGGAGTGGTGTAGTTATAATGCTGTGACTCTTACTTAAGAATCATGTCAGTCTGTGCAATGTCTTCAGATGCTTAAATTTTATGGATGCTTTCCCCAAATACAGATTATGCTCAGAATGAAAAAGATTAAACTGTATGAATGGGGAAAAACTATAATTCTAGGATATTTCACAAGTTACTCTGGAGTATTCTGTGTTTCAGAAATCCCTGAATGATTATACAAACTCTAGATTTACTGTTAAAATAGGGATGCACGATATTATCGGACCAATATCAGAATCGGCCGATAATGGCTTTAAATGTAAATATCGGCATCGGCCCGATATGAAAAATTATGCCGATATGTCTTGCCGATAAGAGGAATACATTAACTCACATGAGCACAGGGTGTGCTAACGATTAGATCATGTCAGCATTGTGGCTTATTCTTGAAGCAAAGTTTTGCCTGAATGGTGATTGGATTCACTGTTTTGAATCGCTGCTTTTAAACTGAGAATGCACGTACAGAATGACGCGTTCAGTGTGTGATAGTCTACAGTAATAGCACGTGCAGTGGCAGCAGCGGCAGCCTCCCCCGGGTCCTAAAGCCCGCTCAGTAAGGAGTTTTAATTCCATAGGGGGCGCTGTTGGCATACTTCTAATAAAATGAAAGCAGAGTACACAAATAATATTTAGACTGTTTCTGATTAAATAAAGCAGTAATTCATGCCATAAAATCATGAGTATGTTTTGATTTAAAGGTCAGAAGCTATAGCTTACGGTTTTTTCACTAAATGTTTGGATTTCTAAAATTATTGTGCACTGATTTTTCTAGAATAACTTTTGCTGCCGAATTATCCACTAACCTAGTTTATGATAAATTTTTGTCATAGATTATAAATATACATAGGCCTATATTTTTTCATATTTATTGTTTATTTTATTTTTCTTTATAATGAAGTAGTCTGTATTTAGTAGATTGTGAAAGAATGATTATCAGTTCCACACACAGAGATATATAAATTCTACATTTATTTAAATGGGGGAAAAAAACTTCAGTGGTATCGGATCGGTATCGGCCAATACCGAACCCTAGGTATCGGAATCGGTATCGGAGGCGAAAAAGGCGGATCGGAGCATCCCTAATTTTTACAACTCTTTTGCTTTAGACCATTTACAAATGTTAAATCATAAAATAAAATGTTAAGGTTACCACTGCATCTTTCTGAAAAAAAAAATGCAGTGATTAATATACAGTTTATTTATAGTTATTTTCAAATCTTCAATGTACTGTAATTAAAAAATAACTTTATTATTGTTTATTTAATGCTAACAAATAAGTTCAAATAAGTTAACAAATAAACAAAATTAAAAATAATTATATATCGGCATCGGCTATCGGCCAAAATTAGTTAAAAATTATCGGCATATCGGCAAAAAGCCAATAACGTGCATCCCTATGTTAAACCAAGTAAAGTAAAATAGAGATACTTATTTACTTATTTCGTGGCTTTACAAGAAATAAGACAAAGAGTTACCATTATGTTTAATCGCTTTTGTGGTGTTTTTATTTGAAAATGTTGGGATTTATGTCAAGTTACAGGGTTTGGTTATGAACACGTATGTGTTCAATTAGTGCTGGGCGGTATGACCAAAAATTTATAAAACAGTGAAAAGGGACCCCTTTCAAACAGTGTCGCGTTCCGAACGTTGTTTAAGCGACATACACCGGTATTGCGGTATTTTAAAAATTCATATCATAACAAAAATAAACACCGGTATTCGGTATGAACCGGTATACCGCCCAGCACTATGTTCAATGTTTTTAAACCGTTTTGTTTACATAATTGAATGTTATTAAATGTATGTATATATTCTATATTTATGTTGTCTGTCCAGCTTCTTTTAAAAACCCATATTGGTTGACCGCCAGTTAAGTGTTGATTTTTTTTTCTTCCCCTTTTGTTTGTTCTTGTCTGTGCAGACATACTCAGGACTCTTCTGTGTGGTCATAAACCCATACAAAAACCTCCCCATATACTCAGAGAACATCATCGAGATGTACAGGGGCAAGAAGAGGCATGAAATGCCACCTCATATCTACGCCATTTCTGAATCTGCCTACAGATGCATGCTTCAAGGTAAGACCATAACAAATATTCCTTCTGATGTCTCAGTGTCTCCATGTGTTACAGAAATAAAATGTTTGAATCCTGCATTTCCGCTGAGAATTTTTGCAGTGAAAATAAATACGGTGTGTTGTGTTTTCTCAATCTTTAAGCACTTGCTTTGTTAAATGAGACCACCACGTTGTTCAAATAAGCAGACAAATGCTCCACCTTTTGCCATTTTTAGCAGTTCAAGATTTCCTAAACCCTATAGCAGAATTTGAACTTACTAGCAGTTTCAGCCAACCTTTAATGTTTTTGGCTGTACTTTGTGTTTCATAGTATCATGTGATGTAGAGCGGCAGAAATGGAATGGTCACTATTTCCAACGGTGTCTATTATATTTCAGTTTATTTTTCCACTCTGAGAGATAAATTAATTTTCTCTGCCACATCTGGTGCTTTCAGATAAGCCCCGAGAACGGAAAGAATAAAGGGCTGCATTTTTTTGTATTTCACTGTGATGGGCTTGAGTTTGTCTTGCCCCAGCTGTGGATCGGTGTATATTAAAGGGAGAAATGAAAGATAATACATCCATCAGACGCTGTGTTCTTCAGCTACTACTAAACTGCAAGGTTACTCCAGAAGTAATTTAGATGTGTTGAAAGAATTAGTGAGTCAGGCTTTTGGATACAGTGCTCTGTTTTTATCATATGTCATTGGCTGTGAATACTAAGCTTCTGTCCATCACAGCAGGAGATCATACAAAGTAAGCCCCATCACTCCTGTTCTTGAGCAGTTGGAGGTTTTTCAAATGCTTTCTGTGTTTTCTCAATGAAGCGGAGAGGTCGTGGTTGATTGTAAGGCAAGATCAGGAGATGTAATTCTCTGATTCAGTCAACTGTAATTTTTTTTCTACCACTGTCATAATCTTTAAGTCATCTCTTAGTAAATCTGGGGCAGTTGGATATTGGAGTGGGCAACTGTGTGTCACAGATTAAGATTGTGTTTGGCAGTGATGTTCGTGTGTTCCATTACAACTGAATAATTTAATCTTTTAACTCTCAATTTAATTTTCACTAGAAAGGTGTTTAAAGGTGTTTATACAATCAATGAACATCAAATGTAGTCCGGACAGTGGTTTAATAAATGTAACTGTATTTCGTAATATGAGATTTGTGTTTGTAAGTAGGCTGCACCAATTCTGAACTTCCACTGTGTGGAATGGAATTCTTGTATTTTGTTTCATTGCTGTAGCATTTGTGATTGAAAGAATTACTTCTATATGTAAGATTTTATTAATGTAATGTACACTACACAGGGCTCGCAAAATTTCAAAATCGCTGGTAGCCCTTCGGGCTGACATTCTTCAGATTTTGGTAGCCCAAAATGAATTTAAGTAGCTTGAATAAAAAAAAAAAAGTCATCGGCTGAACTTCACTGCGGACAAATCAGCATGATTAAAAACTTCAGTGATTGCTTTTTTTCTTCAAATAACAAGTCAAGAGAGTAGGGGTGCAACGGATCACAAAACCACGGCTCGGATCATATTGCATTGTCATATCAGATTTTGAGTAACAGATCGGATCATTTTGCAGATGAGCAAGAAAAATATGGTTCTTTATTATTTAAATAACAGAATACTTCTTTGATACCACAGCAAAAACTAGTAGCATATAGGGATGTAACAATTCACTCAACTCACGATGCGATACGACTCGCGATACTGATTTCACAATACAGTTTTCTCACAATTTTTCTTTTTAACAAAATGAGATTTAAGACAAATTATAAATGAAAAGGTGTCCTTTTATTATTTCTCCAACAAAATGCTGCACATTTCTTTGTGAAATTTAAATATGTCAAATAATAAAACTAACTTGAAATTTTTAAACAAATCCCAAATCAAATCATTAAATACTAATAAAATAAATCTCTTCATATAAACAAACTAATGCTTTGGCTGTGCTTTTTCCATTTAAAGTCAGAGGCAACCACTGCATTTTAATCGTGATCCAAACAAAGATGCTAAATACATGTTATTGAGATTGCAATTAAATTGTATAATTTCGAAATTTGAAGCAAAAACAGAATGGTCTGATTTTAGCTTTGTGTATGAGACGCAAATGTCACTCTCTGACAGCAGGTGGCGCTTATGGAACAGCAGGTGTTTATAGGCTGCTGCCCCTTTAAAACTGATTGCACAGATCCAATATAATGATGCACTTGAGAATCCCAATTCTATTTTATACCCCTTCCCCTAAAATATTGAAAATATTCACCTAAGAATTGGGACACCACTACTATGCCGTCACACGTCATCATACGTCGTCTAGCTTCTACAATACACACACCTATACTGGTGTGCTGCTGTGTATTAGAGCCTTTAATTACCATTCTATATAATACCGTATACCGTGATAAAGCATTAGCAATTAATCGCAACATGAGCATTTGATATCGGCATATCCCTATTCTATATTAATGCGCTGCTTACTGACACACACACACACATACACACACACATATATCAGAGATCGCGCAGCTCACACATCCGGAAGCAAAGAAACTTGTCAACGCTGCCCCACGACTTCTATTAATAACGGTTTAAATACTGAATCGCTACATTATATTTTCCAGCAACAAGAGGATAAAATCGCTGTTTTTGAAGTAAACTCACTCTAAAAAGAGAACCGCACAGACGCGCATACTTGCAACTTTCATCTCTCTCTCTCTCTCGCTCTCGAATTGGCAATATTTGAGAAAAGGGTTTAGCAATTTATAATTATTTGGGGGGACTAGCCCCCCTCAATGCCTACGGTGGTTATCGCCCTGATCAGACATGTAAATATGTTGTGGCACTATCGTGCAGTCTGTATTGATATGACGTTAGCAAACTTTAGCGATTTTTTGCAAACATTTCTTTGAGTAACATGACCGTAAATATGAACTCACGATTGAATGTAACATAAAACAAATGATTACTTTTCATTAAAAACTTTATTAATGCCAAAAAATGCTTCCATTTGTGTCTTTTTGTTCGCTCGGGCAGTCATGTTGCCGCTGAAGCCGGTTTACGCTGAGAAAATTCATACCCCTTCATTTGAAGTGTGGTCCCGAAAAATCTTCGTTTGAAGGGCTATCTGGCCCTTCCCCTTACCCCTACCCCTCCAACCAAAAGAGAATCAAGACACCCCTACCCCTTCACGTGAACGCGTGAAACGGAGGGGTAGGGGATAGGGGAAGGGCTAAGGGGTAGAATTGGGATTGGGCCTTAGAAACACGTGCAAATGATCAACTATGATCCGTTTTACTCCTACAAGCGAGTGAACAACGCAAATCAAGGAAGGAATTTTATATCACTGTTCAAGATAGCCTATCGGGCAGGGTGGTGAAACATTGTGGTAGCCCGAATGGAAAACACAATAGCCCCGGGACGTCGGGCTAGCGATTTTGCGAGCCCTTCTACTGTTGAAAAGATTGGGATCTGTACAATATTTTTTAAATGTTTTTGAAACAAGTCTGCATCTGTTTGATCAAAAATACAGTACTGTTATGATTTATTATTACCATTTAAAATGACCATTTTCTATTTGATTATATTTTAAAATATTATTTATTTCTTTTGATGGCAAAGCTGAATTATTAGGAACCATTACTCCATATTAGGGCTGGGACAATAAATCGATGCTTCGCGTTTCGTGGATCGATTCTGAGATTTTCGGAATGCATCGTGATTTTCTATCGAATCGATTCTGAGCTTAGTTTTTAACAGCAGATTGCGCTCTAGGCTAGTTTTAAACTGCACACTCAAATGCTCACGAAGAAGAGCGCTTGCACGTTCGGCTGAGTAATGTAAGTGGTTAAATGTACTTGCACATCGACTTTTATGCTTTTATGATGCGAGATTAATGTAAACACAACCCACTGTGAACATCCTTGTAATTCACTTCAACCTTTTCGAACTTTATGAATGATTGTTTTAGTTTTAAATGGTGCGTGTGTAAGGAATTGGAAGCAAGCAGAATACGTCTATTTCTAAAGCACGCAGTGCCATCTGCTGTTAAAAAACTAAGCTCAGAATCGATTCAAGAGAGAATCACGATGCCTTCGGAAAATCTCAGAATCGATGCAGAATAATTTCTCGATCCGCGATGCATGTTTATTGTCCCAGCCCTACTCCATATATTATTTAGTGTCACCTGATCCTTCAGAAATCATTCTAATATGCTTATTTACTGCTCAAGAAGCTTTTATTATTATTATTATCAATGTTGGAAATGTTTGTGCTGCCTAATAGCCTATATTTGTGTGCAAACTGATTACATTTTTCATGCTTTTGTGATAAATAGAAAGTTCAAATAAAGAGCATTTATTTGAAATATGTTTTGTAATAATGTGAAAGTCTTTAATGACACTTTTGATTCATTTTATGTGTCGTTGCTGAATAAAAGAATTAATTTATAAAAAAAAAATAATAATTTTGAACGGTAACATATTTGCTTTTTTTGTATCGATAAATGCCATGTACATAAAATTTGATACATTTTATGAGTTCCTACATTGGTACATTTTTGGTAGTAGTGAACAATCATACAAACTTGGAGTCAAAGAAGTTTGTCCAGGAAATGGCGAAGCATTTGGCATCAATGCAATGCTGAATTCCCTATCAAAGCTGACTCCCTCACATTGAAGGACAGGCCAGTTGTCCAGATCTGTCAGAGGCCAGTGAACAAGAGCCGTCCCAGGCTGGGAAGGAGAGGCTGACCTGCATTGTGGGGTACAATGTCGCCTTTGTGTGCCAATGGTTGGGGGATGGGGGGCAGTACATACTCTGACGTGCTGGGTCAAGTGTGGCCGGGACACATGGATGCTGGTGTCTGCCTCTGGAGGAAACACCCCTAACTATGCTACACGTGTCGGCATCATTAGAGCTACAGGGATTACGGCAGTGGAACCAAGTTGTTTACTTTTCCTCTTGAGATGTTTCCTCCGTTATGGCTTTGTTCCAGTTATTGTTTAAGCACACTTGTG